GATAAACATCAACATGGTCAAAACAGCCTCATTCTGATACAAGTTGGAATGAAATTATATTTTAGCTTACATTATTAGCCAAAAGAAATTTAAGGTTTATACACTTAAACTGTTGGTGCCCCAGTTGGTATAATGTGTCAGTAACCTAACTCTAAAATGCATATCGCGCCCCCCCCTACCTTTTTCCCCTTGTTTTTTTTGACTGAATGGTCATACTGCTAGGAATCATTACGGCTATATGCATAAAACTTTTCAACATTTATATTATACACATAACTAATGTTTCTGTATGAAGGAGCTTCAAAAAGTTCACTGGGAAAACATCCTCTTTAGTTTAGTTTTCCCTGACCTCTGTGAAGCAACCTGATCACTTTCTGTTCTCTCCTCACAGTGTATGTAGTCAACAATGTTGATTTAAAGAGCTCTCTCCTGAGAAAGAAAAGTTTGTTTATTCCAACACTGTTCATATCGTCAAGATACTGAACTCAATAAAGCATTAAAGTAGAGTTAAACAAATTGCTAAATTTTAACGTGTTTGATATTGAGAGAATTCTGACTCATAGAGATCCCGAGGGTTCCCGAGGCTGGGTAAATCTTTACTGGGACAGCCTCTTCTTTCTCCCAAGGAGCGAATGGTGAACTTGAACCACTATGGAAAAACTTCCTAAAAGCAATTGTGATCTTTTAAGGAGTCCCTGAGTAGCACAGATGGTTAAATGCTCAACTAATAGCCAAAAGGTTGGTAATTTGAACCCCCCAGAAATGCTTCTAAAGCAGTGGTTCTCAACCTTCCAATTGCCACGACCCTTTAATACAGTTCCTCATGTTGTGGTGACCCTCAACCATACAACTATTTTCGTTGCTACTTCATAACTGTAATTGTGCTACTGTTAGGAAGTGTAATATAGATATCTGATATACAGGATATGTTTTCATTGTTACAAATTGAACATCAATAAACATAAGTAAAGCATAGTGATTCATCACAAAACAATATGTAACTATATTGTGCAATATTTCTGTGTTTTCTGGTGGTGTTATGCGACCCCTGTGACAGGGTCATTTGAACCCCAAAGGGGTCGTGACCCACAGCTTGAGAACCGCTGCTCTAAATGCAGAAGTAGGTATCTGCTTCCAAAAGGACGGATCCTTCACACCCATATGGAACAGCTCTGCTCTTCTAGGAATCCAAATGGATTTGACAGCAAGTAATAACAAGAACCTCACAGACTGAAAAAGTGGTTTTGGCTAAAACATATATCCTATAAGGGTCTTATCTCTAAACATTATAGAAAACTTCAACACCTCAACATGGAAAAGACAATCCACTTGAAAAGTAGATAAAAGACATGAACAAAAACATCTTTCCAAAGAAGACATTCATGAAAAGATTCTGCCTTTTAGCCATTTGAATACCAAACTCACTGCCATTGAGTTGATTTGGATTCATAACGACTCCTCTATAGGGTTTCCAAGATTGTAAAGCTTTATGGGAGCAGTCAGACTCATCTTTTTCCCATGGGAGTTGCTGGTGGATTTGA